CAGCAACCCGCTTAACATGTGTGCAGTTCAAAGTAGTACAGTAAATAGGTTATACAGCAGTACAATCGCAGACAAACGAGTGTACACAATTTCCATTATCGACCCTATTACACAAATATTACGATTAAATGCTCCCACTTACTATGAATGAATGAAATCTACTCCGACTCAATCAATCATACTCGGCCATATTACTGATTAGAAATATCCAATATATGTGATGCCTTTGCCGTACCCCTTAAGCTAGTAAATAAATGTTACCTGAAGTTCGTACAAACTTTGCAAGATTAACAGAGTAATGGGAGCTAGAACAGCGATTAAAGTGAAGGCATCGTCAGTAAAGAATTGAAAAACACTGCAGATCGGTATTGTACATAATATAAATATTAACAACTTGATACTTCAATCACAATCTCTTTATTTCGTACTGTGGCCATTGGCCTTATGTACAGATACAAATAAATACATAATAAATTATATTGGAATGGTCGCTGAAACAAGTAAAGAAAAACAAATATAAAATCATAATACATAACATTTGCATTATTAAGTGTTCTCTCCAAACATAAGTTGTCGTACTTGAAAACTATAAAATATATATTTACCAAGGTTTAATTGTATATATGGGGTTTGATTCTGAAATAATGAAATAAACTTTATCTCTGTAGGTGGGGAGTAGTAATACTGTGCAATAAACTTCAACCTTAGGGAGTTATATTTAGGACAAACTAATGTAAAGTGGTATTCGTCCTCAATTACACTACAGCCAAAAGGACACAACCTCTGGTTACGTGGAGTACCACTGGCCCTACGTATACCCTTTTCAATTTGTAGTACATGGGACGAGATCCTTAATCTGCATAAAGCATTTCTGTATATTGCAGAAGATTGACCAATATTTGTAAGATATTTCTCACATGTTAATTCATGTTTCACCTTACAATAAGTTACAAGTTTGGGACTTCTATTAATTTCAGAGTTCCAATCTTGTCTGGAAATATCAAAGCACCTCTGTTTAAACAGTTCCAGAAATACAATAGAATTACTTACATATTGGTCAATCCAAATATGTCCAAAACCATATTTATAGAGAAGATTTTTAACTGTCAAAGCCCAGCAGATAGTACCTGCTCCTGCCATATTAAGTTGAAATTTATACGATTCTTTTAAAATATGTGGAGAAACATCACTTATTAATTTTAACCCAAAACGAATAATTTCAACATTTACATACACTCTAAGATAATGCCGACCCAATTCTTCCCTAACAGCGGAATTAGTGGCAACAAAACTAACACTTAGTAAATATTTGCAAAATTAATTGTGTACTCTCTCCACATCATTAATATCAGAATGTGTGCCCCAAATAGCACTATCGTAGAGGAGAATTGGGAGGATTTTACAATCAAATATACGAAAAGCAACATCAGGCGGTACATCACCCAGATTCTGTAACTTTTTTTTCCAAACAAAAGAGTGCTTTACTAGCCTGTTGAAAAACATATTTTTGTGCCTGGTACCACTTTCCAGAACTGGAAAGTATAACCCCCAAATAATTATATTTTGAAACAGTTTCAATGCTTTTACCCTTCCGAAACCATTTTTCACTGTTTTTTAACGACCTCCTTTCCGCAAACATAATTTTAGTTTTC